GCTGTCCTGAGAACATTACTGTATATTTTTTAACCTGATTTTTCTGTTCTGCTAAAATATATACTTCTCATACATTTCTTTTTGTAGAAAGGGATATGGAAATATCTATACCTTTGTAATTGTACACACTGAAATTTTAGGCACTTAGTAATTAAGATGCAAACTGATAGTATACTATAATGTAAAGGTGGGGAACTTTGACTAATGTACTTGCTTTAATTTCATTCACCCCCGACCAGGTTTTTGAACTTTGAGTGTGAGTCTTTGAGTAATTCCTGTTCTCTTCAGGGGTATATACATTAAAGAAGGAAATTATTGTGAGATATGAGGGAATTTCCTTACTCTCTTTCTTTCCTCTCTTTGTGGAACTGAGAAATTGAGAAATCCTGCCTAGGTCAGTTGAGGAAATAGGTAGAGGGGAAATGAACTTATCTCAAGGATTATGGTAAGGGTTGTATAGAACCTGCACTGGCCAGGGTCTGGTGGAGTGGTTGTGGCATTTATGGGAACATCAAGTTTACTGAATACTAGACATTGATTTGCTGTGGGACAAACCAGTGATATTTGTTCCTTTTAAAGACCTCCCCCAGTATAAGTTTGTGTGGTTCTCCATTGCTTTTTATCTTTTTTTCAAAGTTGAGGGGGGAGTGTGTAGTCATTAAATCTTGCAATATAGCACTATTCTTCACCCTCAACTGAGTAGCTGTATATAAGTAAGAAAAGTGTCAGCTTTTTTCCCAGAGGTACCATCTTCTAGTATTTAAATCCTCTTTAAAAAATATAGAAAGTTCCAAGAATTTGAGAAAGAAAAATTTTGTGCAAATAGGATGTTCTCTCTCTCTGTATTTAGGATCAGTATTTTATCTTAATTTCCTTCTTTGTCACCAGTAAGAATTAAGTAATGCTGTGACTTTTAAGAATAGAGATGGAGTTGTTTGGTAAATAGGTTATTCATGTCATGAATGGAAGCAAATTAAAGGGATACATGTTAATGAGGAGGGCTGGTTCTTTTAGCACAGTAACAATATAGAAATAGAGTTGTTTACTTTTGATTGATCATCTCCTGGTCAGAAGTTTGACTGATGTGATTTGAAGTCCTGAGCTCATATGGAAGTGCCCAGTTAAAAAGATAACAAGAATTTGGCAAATTTATTGATTCTGAAATGTGGAAACAGGTGAACTATGGTCTATTAAGCACACTCCCACCCCCACGTCCATTTTTTTGATACAGAGTCTTTACTTTGTTGCCAAAGCTAGAGTGCCATGGCCTCTAGCCTACCTCATAGCAACCTGAAACTCTTGGATTCAAGGGATCCTCCTGCCTCAGCCTCTTGAGTAGCTGGGACTATGAGCACCCATCACAATGCATGGCTAGTTTTTCTATTTTTAGTAGAGATGGAGTCTCACTCTTATTCAGGCTGATCTCAAGGGATCCTCCCGCCTCTGCCTTTCAGAGTGCTAGGATTATAGGTGTGAGCCACTGTGCCAGCACACCATCCCACCATTTCTTTTCTTTATTGTCCTACTTCACCTTTCAGCTTTGGCATGTCTTAGATTTCCTTTTCCTTACGTTTATTCTATGCAAAAATGCTTGCTGTTAGTACCTGCTGATCTTAGCCACACATACTACCCAATCAGTCATCAATGGAAAAGTCAGGTGGGTGGGGATAGGAATGTGTATATTACTGATTTGATTAATTGTGCTAGATAGTATAAGAAATTATTTCAGAGTTGTATTGACCCCTCTGTGCTAGAACATTTTTTTGTTAGCATTTTGTGAAATTTTTAGACAATATCAGAATAACTATAATATAGGTGATATTGTCTTGAGCCAAGCAGTTAAACTCATACTGATCTAGCTTTTATTCTGTGTCTCTAATCATTCCACTGTCTCTGGTATATCTAGTTTAATTAGGAAAGTGACTTTTTATCTGTATAGGATTGAATAGCATATTTTATTAGATATGTTAAGGTAATGTAAAAACATTTAAAAGCTGCAGGGCATAGACAAAAGAGTTAAGAAACTGAGTTGGGACTCCAGGTGTCTGACAGTGCTTCATTTTCAGAAAGGCATATTATTCTTAGGGAAAGGTGCAGAAAGATAAAATATTTATTATGGTAGACATCAGTCATCCAATATAAATTTAAAAGAAGAAACTCAGACTACAGGGAAAATGAAGGTGAGCCTTAGGGGAGTGATTCTGCAACATCCAAAAACAATGAAAGTAGTGTGCTGTGGACACCTGGGGCTGTATTCCATAGGTCCTTCAGCATTGCATTTTATTACACATGATAAACTTGATTAGAATGTAATCCTGAAATTTGAAGAGTTAGCCTTCAGCTTTCTTGATTAATGCAAGATTGACTTATCGTAGTTAATAGAAATGACAAGATAGTAAGCTTGGAACATAATTCTCTTTGTTTCATATTATAGGGACTTAGGAGACAACTCACTACATAGTATGTACTATATTAGTACATACTAATATGTTATCTAGATTAGTATGTTAGTAATATGTATTGTTAGTATGTGGATACAGTGCAAGAGGCATACACTCCAAGTAGTGTATTAAATAAGAGAGAGGTTTTCTTTGTTTTTATTTTGTTTTTAATCTCTTAGAGTAATAGAAATAGTCCACAGCTGCATTGATAGCTCAACAAGTCATTAAAGACTGAAGCTTTTTATCTTGCAATCTCATCCTTGATTCCACTTTGTGTATAAAATGACTACTATAGCACCATAATATCTGCATTCAAGCTTAGATGAAATAACCAGAATCATATTTTTTCATGTTCACTTTTTTCTTTTTCTTTTTAAAAATACTCAATTGGTACTGTATTTTCACTTAAAAAATATTAAAGAAAAATCTATTTTGATTTACATATGAAATAATGTACTGCTTTTCAGAATGAAAATACTCATGAATCGCTTTTGTTCTAAATAATTTAGAGTATTTGGGATATTCTGTTTCTAGGTAAAATAGTTCAAAATAAGATTTTAGTAATATGTGTATGATATGTATTTCAAAACAAAAACGAATATCTTTTTGAAAGTTTGCCTTTGCTGTAAATTCAATTATTCAATGTTTTTTCTCTCAAGACCCCAAAATTCCAGGGCATTGCTAGCTTTAAATTTATCCTTTGTTTCTTCATCAAATTCTTCCATGAATTCTCTCAGTTACCTGGGTTCCAGCTCACCTAGGGGGAAGGGGTAGTCAGTTCCCAAAATGACTTTATCTTTTCCTGTGACATTCGTTAATGCTCTGTCCTCTAGCTTGAGGGACAGAGGATTATGAACCAAGAGGTCCATTTAAAAGGAACCAAGATATTTCTTTGGGTTAACTGGATTGTCCTGGGCACACAGATCTGGCCTCATGCTAAATCCATGAGAGATTCTTCCCAGTGTGAAGGCGAAGGCACCACCTCCCTATGCAAAACACACTTAATAGTTCAGGAAATTTCTCAAACACTCAACCTGTGATTGTGGAGCAAATGGCTATGGTGTTCTCTGTTGGCATTTCTATGAGCCAAGGAAGCCAGTATTTGGCCATGAGCCGTCCAACCACATATCCTAGGGATGCACAAATAGGGAACAGTTCAGCCATTCAGCCGCCTGGTAGACAGGGAAGTGTTCCTGTGAGTTCAGATCCCACTGGTTGATGTGAGAGCCGATCTGGATCCCAGGAAAGCCCAGCTCCTTCAGATAGCACTCCATCTCCTCAGTGACCAACTGGGGCCCTGCATGGGCAGCATTCCCAGGCCTACAAACTTCCTGGGTGGTTGCAGTGATGGCACCTAGGTCATTGTTTAAAAGCTGGCACCAGTTTAAAGTGTCCTGAGGTTTGCCCTTTTTGGTCCATTTCTCTAACATGAACTTTTGGATCCCAGCAGTTCTCTTGGACCATTCTGAAGACCTTCCTATGTTTCAGCTTCCTTGCTTCTCCAGTTCTGAAGGCTGAGAAGTTCAAGCTCAAGGCATATTTGGTGTCCAGTGAGGGTTCAGTTGCTGGTTCTCAGATGGCACCTTCTTTCTGTCTTCTCTCATGGTGGAAGGTTTTTCTCTCAATGTGCTTACATGTGTCCTTGCTCGTTCTTTCTCTCACTCTCTTTTAAAGAGAATGCTGTTCTTGTTTCCTGGATATGGTATCATATCATCTTTCTATGGTGGTGTTATTTTTTAACATTTTCTTTGTCTTTGTTTTCCCCAAGTACCTTTTCTTTTGTCCTTCTGTCTGTCTCTCTCTTGCCTTCTGTCTCAGCATATAGTATTATAGACTTTTCTTGGCTGGCTGTTAATATTTAAGAGGGCTAATTGGAAGGAATGTGTTTGTGTCTGTGTAGGTGGGTAGCAGGATACAGTGGGGGCATGGTTGTCTGGAGGGGTGAGCAGGTGAGAATCTGTTTTAATGGGGAGCCACCAGATCTTAGTAACCGTATGTCTTGTTAGGTATTCAGTTTCATGAGAGAAAAATCCACTAGTCTTCTACCTTTGGAAGTATGTTTATTTGTTCGCAGATAATTGTTGTGGCAGGGATGGGGGTGAAAAGTTTCTAGGGGTGGATGTAGTATGAATTTTGTGACCAGCATTCTGAGCCAGGGGAAGGAAAGTAGTCAAAG